TGGCGTTGAATACATATGAATGAATAAAAATTAATTACACATTTTTGGTATATAGGTCTAATACAAGTCCATCTGGGGGATTTTTAGAGGAATGAAGACCCCGCAGAACCGAGAGTTCCACTTAAATGATCTGATATATTGTGTAAAGTGGTGCTATACCGTAGTGTTTGAAATTGTTTACAGAACCTTGGTAAATATTTTTTCCCTCCTAAGTATGCCCTAATACTGAATTGGTTACTCATAAACGTATCTAATGTTTTAATTCCGTGTAATCATGGAATGTGGACGGTAAAAAATGTTCCAATTTGGTAAATCACATTTCCTGGCAAAAAATCTTCTTACAAAACAAGAAATAGGCCTACTACTTTCTTGCTAGTTTCTTCCTAAAAAAAATAAAACATACATAAAAGAGTTCCGATCCCACTTGTTACTCATGCTGGTAGCCTACGGACCTGAATTATTATACAGTATATAGACACACATGCATTAACGTGGATATAATAGTTTAAACAAAGTTACCTTAAAAAATGATTCATTACGTCTTCACTAGATAAGTAAACTACAAATTTACAAGATTTACATTACCTAGGCCTAATAGATTTGTACAATAGAAAAAAATCCACGTAATAATCTAAATTCTCCTGAATTGATTGCACTTCTGCTTGGAAAGCGCCTAGAGGCGCTATATAATTTCACAATTATTATAATATTATAATTCATCGTTTAGTGAATATTATTTTGATTTTGCAGGTTCGCCGAGAACGGTCCGTCACTGGTAGATCAATCTCATTTTGGGGGGCATGGGGACCGTGGTCTGGCTGTTCACGATCGTGTGGTGGCGGTGTAGCCTCTCAAGTTAGGCCATGTCTACGAAGAAGACGCTCAGGGTAAGACTAAATGAGGAAAGTTTACATCTTATGTAATGTAGGCCTATAGACAAAAACCAAAGGATATGAGTATATTAGCATTACATTAGCGCCGCCCATTGTACTTGTGATTGAAAGTAAGTAGGCCTAGGCACCCTTGGTTTTTCACAATTTGGTCGCCGCCGTCCGTTTTGCCTTTCATCCTGGTGGTGAATGTTAATAATGATGATAGGCCCTATGCCTAGCCGCCTGGTCCTGGCGTCTCAAAGCCTAAATTCTTTTAATGTTATTTTGAGTAACATGGTTTTATAACGTAATTGAACCATGTACATTTGATTTTAAACTCATTCTACAAACGGTGAAATGTTTAAATAAATTATTTTGACAGGCCTAGGCCTACTAGACTAGCCTAGACACAGTTTTCCAGTAGGCTAGGGTGGCACGGCAAAACAAAGTTTTACTTGAAGCTCTGACGATAGAGGGCGTGTATACTCTTAATGAAAACCAGGGAGTTAACACATACCTGTATTATTTATAACATTTAGTGCAAATTCTTTATCAATTAAACTTAAGCCAAGAAAAAAAAACCAAATCATATTTTATGTATTAAAATGAGTGAAATAGGCTTTGAATGAGCTCGATAAGTTGAGATGACCGAGTTTTGATAATTCATAGTTTCAATGATTTGAACAACTTCCTAAAACGATGATATTGATGGATATATCCTATGTCATTGAAACACAGCATGTATAATGAAAAGCAATGAAAATTCCCAGTGCCACAAAATACTTGGCAAAATCCCAATTTCACATCAATCTCTGAAGATGTAATTTTTATTTTACAGGACCATTGGGGTTGGTCATCATTGTGTTGGACTTTACAGGCAATACAAGCAGTGCAATACAAAGGTGATCATATGTATATTCAATCATTCATTCACTTTATTTATTTATTTATTTACTTATATATTTATTTGTTTATTTATTTATTTATTTTTATTTATTTATTTTATTTTATTACTTACTTACTTATAAGAATCAAATAAGTTATTAACTTTCAATAAAATCATGATTAAGCAAGCAGCTAGAAAATCTAGACCCTACTAAAAATAAAAGCACCAGTCTTGATGGGCTTCCAGCATACTTCCTGAAAGATGGTGCTTCGGTATTAGCTTCCAACTAACTTACGTAATAAATCTGTCAATTAAAACTGGTAATATACCACATGATTTAAAAACAGCCAGTCTCTCCATAGCACAAAAAGAAATGTCATAAAAATACCGAAAACTATAGGCCACTTAGTGTTCTTAGTGTAGTTTACAAAATCCTTGAAAGTCTGCTCACATTCAATTAGGGTATGTTCACACATACGGCGCAAGTCTGGCGTAGCTTACGCCAGCGTAAGCTAATCCACGGATCAAAATTCCAAAGTGTTCACACAAACAGCGTTCGCTATATTAACGCTGGTGTTAAACTAGTAGTAATATAGGCCTATGGGGGAATAGTTTTCAGTTTTAAATAATGTACGGGTTCTTAACTGTAGTAAAATATTCACACTTGCATCATTAAAACTTAATCTGTGAATTGTTCGAAGTGAACTTATATGATTATTGTATTTTAATTCAACAATTTTACTTCTGATTTTTCAGCTAGCATTGTGGGACAATTGTTGGTGTTGCAGGTTTTAATAGACAGTCTAAATAGGTTAAAATATCTTACAAAACACAATCAACAAATCACATACAATATAATAACTAAGTAAAATGAAATAGGAAAAGAACCCCTTTACCATTTCATTTATAGATAGCACAGGAAAGAGATCAAAGTAACTAATCTATTGCAATCGTGATTGGTCAATCTCTTGAAATTAGGTCATATCATTCAAGCATCACTGGCGTTAGCTCCGTGGCGTTAGCTAATCTGGGGTCTGCAGGTAGCGTTAATAACGCCACGGAGGTGGCGTTGTAAGTGGCGTAAGTAACGCCACTGCCTAGTTCACACACAAAGGCATTCACTACGCCAGCCTTACGCCAGACTTACGCCGTGTGTGTGAACATACCTTTAGAACAATATCTTGTGGAAAATAACCTTATATATCAATTTCAGTCATTCAACCAATAGTACTTTACTTAATAATTCAGATAAAATAAAATTAAATACCTCTAAAGGCATACATACTGGTATGGTTCTCATCAGGGATTTAGCCAGAAAAACGAAATAGGCCGTCCAAAAGACGAAGAACTTGTCGCATATCCCCCTCCGTACCTAAGAAAAAATGAAAAATTATGACCTTTAGACGGCATTTAAAGGTGTTGGAATTTTTTCTTCCGTAGTGTTCAATTAGCTATCACAAAGATATTTCAGTTTTAGACATAGATGGATACAGTTACTGTTGTTTACTTACAAATTTTCTAGGCTATGCAGATGCATCTTCATTGCTCGCCGTAGTCTAGTGTAAATTCTTCTCTAGGTGCTCTGAATCCAGAGATGTATTGGCCTAGGCCTACTGTATTTTGTTGACTAATAACATTTAACTTGTGACGTTAACAACAAGTCTGCTTTACGGTATTTCATGAATTAATTATAACCAGGCTAGTTACGAATACCAACGATAATGTCGGGGAACCAAATTTTAATTACTGTATTTGCAGAGCCAGGTGCATGCGTTGTGGGTGACTTACAACTCTCCATTTTTCAGAGGGGTACAGTACACAAAAAGTGTGTGTTGTAAGTGAAATTCTCACCTGGTAGACAGTGGTTTAGCCTTACCTTTTTGGGAATCCCCACCGAATTTTGGTATGAAAACAACGTAAATTTAATCAATAAAGGTTGTTTTATCAAACGTATATATGATTTAATTTAATGTAACATTTGATAGATTCGAAGAGTATAAAGAATTTGCTAAAAGTAGACCAGGCCCAACTAGGCTAGGACAGGCCGAGCTGTCCAAACAAGCACGGTAAAAGTAGCCGTCCTAAATATTTTTGTTGACTGTCCAAAAGACAGTCGGACGGCTCGCTGGCTAAGCCCCTGGTTCTTATAGATCTGTGTAAAGTATTTGACACCATTGATCATGATATATTGTGTGAAAAACTTTCTTTAATGGGTATCAACTCATTGAATTGGTTTTGCTCTTATTTAACAAACAGGAGCCAAGTTGTTAAAAATTGAGGAGGTAGCATATTAGGTCCTTTAATGTTTTTTGTGCTTTATAAACAATATGGTGGTTAGCATTGACCTGATTGTAAATTGTTTTTATATGCCGATGACAGTGCTCTTAGTTTTTTCCAACAAAGATCCAACTATTGTTTGCCGACAAACTTGGTGACGCTCTTGATAAATGTAAAGACAGTGGCTTATTGGCAACAAACTGTCCATTAACCTCAGCAAAACTGAGTCAATTATTGTTGGTAGCATAACAATCCTTCAAAATTACCTCTAGAGGCCTTAACTTAAATGGTTCTAAGGGCCTGTTTCTGCTGAAAAAACCGTTTTAAAAAACGTTTTTTCTTTGAAGCAGAAACAGGCCCTTAGTCTGTCAGATATTTAGGTATCGAACTCGATAATTTTGTCTCTGGTAATTGTCATGTCTCATTCTGCATTCTTCTTCTCTGATTAAAGACTTGGAACGTTCTTCCAACCAATTTAAAATTAATCAAGAACATTACAACATTTAAGTCACCGTTAAAAATTATTGTGAACAGAACAGTACTGCAATTTTGCGATTATTTTTTTCATTCTACAGAATGCAATTTTGGCCTTTGAACACTTTTAAAGTCACATTCTCTGGGTGCTGATTTTTAATTTTGTACATTTTTTATTGTTCTTGAAACTTAAAAAGCTTTTTTAGGATTTTAATTATGTGCAATTCAATATCTGTATATTTTATGTCAGTTTTATGTGTATATCATATTTTTATGTCAGTTTTTATATTTTAAATTTTAATGATTATAAATGTGATTTTTTAATGTGCAATCTTGGACCCCATTGGAAATGGGCTGGACTCTGGCCTAATGGGCGTTCCTGATGCTCATTAATTTTTACTTTTCTTGTTCTCAAATCATTTTTATATTGTTTGTGCATGTTGAGCATTGAAAAAATTCAATCAATAAATCAATTTCAATGGTTTAGAAATTTTTCTTCAAAATTTTTAAATAAGCAGTCTTTGCAAAAGGCAAAGAAATTACATCCATCAATTTTGAAAAAAAAAAACATTTGAAACAATTGAAAGAAACACTTTTGTTATGTAGCATATGTCAAAAAAAATTGGCATCTAACATTTGCATTGAATCTAGACCTGGATTTCACCGTACAAAAAGTATATTGTATTTGTTTGGTTAGAAAATACAAAAGTTGAAATCGTCCAACAAATTTGAAAGCTCATTAATTATTTTAATTACTTTCAGCCTTGTTCATATGGAAGCAAAGATTTCCGAACGGAGCAATGTGAAACCTACAATAACATACCATTTATGGGCAAATTTTATGATTGGTATGCATTTGTAAAAGGTAAGCTAGAAACAAAAATCTAAATAATCAAATAATTCATTTGGCTTTGTAATTTGGATAATATGTTCATTAGTGTTAAGTCAGTAAACTTTGAAAATAACTCACCAGTAACATTCGGTCCACTATCCTGGACATGACAATAGTATTAAAGCTAATGCCTTCATCACCGACAGTGTAAGCAGGTACATGTATCTTTCTACCTGATTTTTTTATATTTGAAATAATGATACCATATTGTAGTATTCATATTTGTACAAAGTTTTATGACATTATATTGTTTAATAAATTCAAATAAAAAATTAACTATTTTTTAGAGCCAATGGTTTGTGAGTTAAATTGCCGGGCAACTGGATATCGTTTCTATGCTAAGCATGCCGATAAAGTTGTAGATGGAACAGTTTGCAGACCGGGATCCACGGACGTGTGTGTCAACGGGATGTGCAAGGTAGGGACCATCAAAGATTATTGTGGGTGTGGCCTGTTGTTGATGCTTGTAAAGAGTATTGCTTATTGAGATGTGCAACACAGGACCACAGGATTTTTGTGGGTGTGGCCTGTTGTAGTTATGTGACATAGTGGGATGTTCAAGGTAGCATCATAAAGTTATTAAGGGTATGTAGTGTATGTGTGTAGTGAAATTTATATAGCGCATAATATCGAGGTCTCTATACGATGAGTGGACCAAAATAGAAAGAACTAAACCAAGATCTATACTTAGCTAACAAAAAACCCAAAAAGAACAACACAAGCAGAGGAACCAGAATCGCCGCACCGTTTTCCTGCAATTTAAATACTACTGGCAAGCAGGCTCATAAGGGTGTGGCATTATTGTTAATAACTAAAAAACCAGCATTTTACCATCGGAATAAATCAGCATTGTTGGGCTATATCAACTCCTTGGTTGGACTCATAAACACTGTTGATAGGCTTTGTATCAGATTGCCTGACAATTGATTTACTTATGTACTGCCCTCAAGAGGACATTGGAAGCTGTAACATACCTGAATGAAGATTATGTTCTATGATTCATCCATACATGCATTATTAACACAAAAGAGGCTAAAGCCAAAGAATATGATGCAAGTATTTTTACATCCTTTGTTCAATCATAAATTCTATATTCACTTTATAAAGCTATTAGCATCTGTACATCTGTTTATATAGTGTTTAATACATGTAATCTCCATATGATTTATCAACTGGTATCTAAATTTGCATATTGTGGAATAACTTAAGAAAATAAAGTTTTATTTGGAGTATTCAAATAAGTACCAGTTTGGCCTGATCAAACTGCACAGTAATCGGTGGGTGTTGTGTTTAAACATTGATGGTCAAAGTACCTTTTTGTTAAAAAATCGTTGTCATTGTATTCCATTAAGATCACTGTCTGAAAATAGGTCATGTAAAACATTGATCTTAATATCAGTGGTTTTACCAGGATTTACCAGTACATTATGAGAGAGAATTTATGCATTTGAATAATAATATAATAATTGTCAGTTTATATAGAATGTACCGGTAATGTAATGACCTCTGCGCTTTTACATCCGAAAGTGCAATAAATTTAGGTGGTAAATTTCACTTATGATTTACCTAATTTATAAATAAATACAGTATGACTAATACAAGATTATTATCAACTTGACTTATTTTAAGTTATAAATAATTTGAAAAATACCATCATTCTAAGTTCCTTTCATTGTAAACCCATCCCCGATTTTTAATTCTATGCTGACTTCTCTTCTCTTATGCCATGTTTTCTCATTCTTGTATTTACTGACTCAGTCATACTTTGAGTAGCATTAGTATTTTGCCAGTTATTGTGGATATTTCTTATGATTCATCGAAATAAATACTTGACAACTGGACATTGAACTTTAGAATAGACCGACTATAACTTTCCTTTGACAATGCCAAACCTAATTCAAGATTACAACTGCTTGAATACAAGTTGTTTAGATGATATATTGTACAGTATATAATTTGTTTTTAGCTTAAACTTTGTAGGTCTAAATAATTTTTTTTTAAGATATAGCCATAAAGACATAATGAAACCTACAGAAATGAAATTTAAGATTCTAAAAAAGGGGCCTAGGGGGGGAGGGGTCTATATCTTTCAGGATGATAAAAGCCCAAGAGAATGACGTCTAGAGGGGCCATGGGCATTTTTCTGTAGTATAGTGAATGCTGATTTACCTCATGTAAAGCACCACCATTTTTAATAATAATAATAATAATAATAATAATAATGGTAGACTTATATAGCACATTATAAGCTCTCTGCACTTCACATTATCATTGCCCCTGCCATTGGATTATGGAGCACAAACTCAGCTCCCGGGGAGCATTCAAAACCAAAATCTTGAGGTTGGGAAACCAAACCATTCACACTGTGCCAAACCACATCACTATTTTCTTTTTTGCTGCCAATACTTGTACTTGATTTCTTCTTATTTAAAAAAAAATTTTAAAAAAAATCATGTTTTATCTTTTATCTTTGTTGTTCATATCCTGCATGCATCCAATAAACCCATGACCTGTTTTTGTTTTAAATTTTTTAAATTTAATTTAATTTATTTATTTTTAATTTATTTAATTTAATTTTTTTTTCTCATTGCCATCATCGCCGCATCATCATTGCTAAAATTCCTGAAATAAGGTAGACAGCACTAAAATACCTGTCATACTGTTGTCATATTTCATGGTTATTATATAGCAATGCATTAGTAATTAATTTCAGATTCAATAACTTTAAAGGGAAACAAATATGACTATTATGTGACACCTAAGTGACAATTAAGATATTAATAGTCTTATCTTACAGTTGAATCAAGTAACAGCAGTTTGAACCAAACTCAATTCTAAGTATTTTAAGCAGTTATTCAACTTGCATGGCTAAATTCGGGAAATTGGGATTAGTTAAAGGAATTAAGGTTAATGACGAGATGATTGATATGGACCCTTCAAGCATGCCCTCTATCGCACTCAAACTTTTTTACGCTCAATTTCCTTTATTAGTGCGGGGCATTATATGCTTACTATGATAGACTACCCTAGATAAAGGTACAATTACAGCAATTATTATCTAGGACAAGGGGGTGGGGTCAGACTTTCCTTTCATTCAAAATTAGGCCATGAATTACCAACAGTTTGATGTGTCCACCTTTCTTGTATATGGACAAATTTCAAAACTGGTTAATTTTGGAGTGATTGATAGCTGAGATGATTGGCAGATGTTTGATGTCCCAAGATTGGATTTGACAATGCAGATGGATATCTTTCCACCTGTTTCCCTATGTGGTCAATATATGACTCATTCCAATAATTTGGGAATTGAAATGAAGCATTGTTAGTAAGATAGAATGAGTCACTCATATCATCATCAGCAAAGTGTTATTTAAGATATTAATAATTACAAAATAGATATTAAACGACTACCATATCAGGTAAATGCTCTTACAAGAGATATGCATGTTACAGGTAGCATAACCTTACACATGTCTCTTCTGTTATAAAATTTAAAGAGAGTTGTATTTTATAGAAAACTGATGATTCAGTGATAACACATAATCTGTTACCACCATGCCCCAATGGATTGTGTTATAAATAAAAAATGGGTTAGCAATTAATGTTTTCTTGTTCTCGTGGGCACCAGTCTATTGGGTTTATATACTGTATTTCAATCGATCAATTATTTAATCATGTTTATAATTAGACTTGAGATGTATATGTAATTGGGACTTGATATAGTACATTATACTGATTACCTATAACTCCTATTGTAACCAAGAAACTATTTGAATGCAGAGTGAACAGATAAACCAAACCTTACTACATTGTTTGCCCAGGGAACAGTGTAATTTCACTGTTCCCTGGTTTGCCTGCAATTTATGACCATTGACAAGCAATGGTTGGCTGGCAGATGCTCTCATGATGTAAGGCGATCTAGTCAAGCCTGCAATACTCAAAAGCTAAAACTAAAGATAAAGAGAACAAGAACTAAAAAAAATGTATGAATATTTGAAATTAATATCAAGTATTGAAAAGGTGTGTCTTCATGTGGTACTAATGACCGTTGACATATCTAAGGGGCGTGTCCCTCAGAATAAATGTGCAGGCTCCTTATTCTGACAACTTGCTGGGCAAGATAAATATACAAGTATTTAAAAATCACCTCATATTACTTCATTCCTGCTAGCTATGGCTTGAATAATCTGTGTATGAAATGATTAACCGCATACCAGGTAGTAACCAGGTCACACAGATGATTTTGTTTTTATATGTGTGGGGGTTTTTTTTTTATTTGGCTTAAAGAAAGTTGTTATACTTTACTGTAGTGGTTGTAATAATTTTGTCATTACTGTAGCGCTTCAAGATATGTTGTTGGTTTGAGTATCTCTAACCTTAGAGGTGTGTTTGTAAGTGCGATAACATTAGAGGAAAAGGTTATCCGTTATTCTATTACATCCATGTAAGTGTTTCCGAAAAACATGAATTGCAGTATCAGTTTCAGGATATGTGGCTGTGTCTCTTCTACCCCCTGTAGATACAATTAGCAAGGTGTATTTTTCTTTCATTGCCATGGTAACTTCCGGTAACCCAAGTTCGACATCTTTGTTGTAAATTGATTCTTCCTAAAAAAAAGTTACATATCCTGAGGAAAGGTAAAATTTAAGTAACTGTTGACAGCAAGTTCTACAGGAGTCAGTTTTGTTTTTGAAGGTACGATACTGTCTGTGTTAAACAATGTTGCTTAATATCTGTATTTTAGTTTTTATCTTTCGTTTGAAACTGGATATCTTCGTTCCCAATCAACACACATAATCATAAACCATTCTATTATTCATATATTTTCTGGTACAGTAGGTCTACAGAAAAGAAGTTATAAAAAGTTCATAAATCAAAGAAAACTTGATTGAGCTATTGAATTTTATGTATTTAATTGTACTAATGTTAATACCATGATACTACATCATACTATTATGATCGGTGGGTGTGGTTTTGGAGCTGTGTGGCTGATATGTAAATGAGGTGTTGTAGCAAATCACAGGATGAAGAGGTCAGTATGTGTACATTGGGCATCAAGATGCTATGGCAGAAGCCTGTATTAGGCTACATTCAGACTTGGAGATCAGCCAGGCTTGAGTTAAGCCCGGCTCAACGTTAAACCCGGCTTAACTTTGCTGGGCGTTCAGACTAGTGGGTTTAGCCAGGCGAGAATTTGCATAATAATGAACCGTAACCAGGAAACGTGTTTCAAAACATTGCTCGCGAAACATACGTACGCTCGCTCACAGCGTACGTAATTGAATGCTGATTGGTCATTTGTTACCTGGGAGTCCATGCAAGATCCCCGCAATGATTAAAGCTCGGCTTAGAAAAGTTAAACACGGTGGCGCGCCAGGCCTAGTTACTATAGGCCCGGCTTGAGATAAGCCACCTAGTTCAGACTGTCAGGTGGATAAACCCGGTGAGTTGAGTCGGGTTTATCCACCTAGTCTGAACTAGGCCTCA